AGATGGCAGTGTTGCCGATTGCCTGATAATTGCCCGTTTTGCGGATTATTCCAGGTGCTGTCGGATCCTTTTCGTATCCAAGAATTCATCGAATAATTCCTAGTAAGATCCGATAATATTCGGATCTTTCTTTTTCATTTGGAGTTTGTCCCACGAAACGTGCTTTTTTATGTTCTATAATTTCATGATTTTGTAATATGTATCATTTGTGTTTGTGATGTGTTTCATGATGGTTTCATATACTGGCCTGTGAATCCCAAGTGTGATTCCTATGTCAGTATGTAATTGTCATGATGTCATGTCATATGATTTTAAAATGTTTTTGACAGAGACAGATCAGAAAATGTTCCTATTGTTGGAATTGTAGAAGTAACCTTGGAAGGCCTAGGGGTCCCTATTCCACCATTAGGAGCATTTTCAGATTAAATCATACGACGGATACCGGATCTATGGAAATTCGCCCTCACTTATGTTATATTTTAGGTATGTTCAGAACGAAACAGAAATTTATTAATTTTGATCGAAATATGATGGTTGTAAATATATACGCTTATTCAATTTTCAGAACTGACGTTTTAAATCTGAGAATGATGACAATTCGGTAATGTCAGTGGTGAAAAGAGTGCCCACACTCTTTGAAGGGCGTATAATGAGATGTTCGAGGCATTCTAGTTCAACTAATATAATCCAGTGACTTTAGTATAGACCTTCGTGAGTAGGTATTCCTATTAGGCAATAATGCTGGATGGAAATCCCACAAAGTACGAATTACAGGAACAATTAGGGCTGTGTCAAGTCATTCGTTCGACCACAGTGGTGATACCAGAATGGTCAATGGTTGACAGGACTCCCATCACTAGGTAACGTGGTAACTTTGTGGACAGGTTTGAAACGTGACCGACATTCCCAAACAGCTGGTTGGTCAGACAGATGGTCAGACTTCATACTGAACGTATGTGCCCGGTCAAACCACAAACTTGACACAGCCTAGATGATGCAGCTACATAATGGCTGTGTCAAGTCATTCGTTCGACCACACTGGTGATGCCAGGGTGGCCAATGGTTGACTCGACTTCCATCAAAAGTTAACACATGGTAACTTTGTGGACAGGTTTGAAACGTGACCGACATTCCCAAACAGCTGGTTGGTCAGACAGATGGTCAGACTTCATACTGAACGTATGTGCCCGGTCAAACCACAAACTTGACACAGCCTAGATGATGCAGCTACATAATGGCTGTGTCAAGTCATTCGTTGGACCACACTGGTGATGCCAGGGTGGCCAATGGTTGACTCGACTTCCATCAAAAGTTAACGTGGTAACTTTGTGGGCAGGTTTGAAATGTGACAGATATTCCCAATCAGCTGGTTGGTCAGATGTCAGATCGATGGTCAGACTTCATACTGAACGTATGTGCCCGGTCAAAACAGACTTGACACAGCCAATGTAAATGCAAATTGTTTTGACATTTCAATGTATTTAAATCTGTTGATAGAAATGATTGGTAAATAATGATCTTATTTTCAGCTGATGATTTGAAGGAAAGAATTCAAATATGGAAAACCGAAAAGACGTCAAGACCGAATTAGACTAGTTAGAGAACTTACCCTATTTTTTTTTTTTCATTGTTTATTTGAAAGATTTATTTAAATCCTATATTGTTTCAAATGTGATAATTATATTTCATTTTTGTATTTAATTTACTTCTTGAGGTGAGGTGACATATAAAACTAGGGATTTATTCAAAATGAAACCAAATTAAGGCTGAAATATCCCCGGATCTCAATAACTTGATAATAATCTTATTAATGCATTGCTTTCATGCCTTTCTGTTGTGTATTTTTTTTCTGGAACTATAATCTAATCATTTGAGGTTTCCTCATGAAAATTCTCCATCATTTTATAACATTGGGTTTCTCAGTGTTGTAATGTCAACTAAAAACTTGTCAAATTATTTCAGAATTGGTTCCTACTAGGGTGGGTGCCTTCTTCTCAGTTTGACGAATTTTTCATTCTACTAACTAGGGTATGGTCAGATCAATGTCTCATCTGATGATGAGATGAGATGAAAAGTACCTTATAATAAGTACCTAAATCAAATTTACATGAAGGCAGCACCCAAGTTCATAATATATTGTTTACTGACCTGTAATATTCATCTTTCGGCATGGAAAGTGAACTTTGTAATGAGTCCTGAATCCAATCATTCTCTTCGAGGTCAGTTGGTTTTATCAAGTATTATAAATAATACCAATGATTATTTGCTTATGGCAAAACTCATAAACTGTCGCAAAAAAAACGGCAAGTCATTGAACTTTTTCATTGTTGAACACTGTATAAAATCTGAATAACAAATATATCAATGTTCACTATTGTTAATATGGAAATACTTGTGAATAGTTATTGTTTATAATGATTTTTCGTTTTTGTCGTTCTGAGAAAAAACTTCTGATCAGGTTGAACATTTTTTTGAGTCCTATTGGAAGCTTTTTGATGCATTTATGCAACTGGGTTACTGTCTGTCAGGGACAAATATTCCGGATACATTTTTTCATTACGTATTGTGTTTCCAGTCTTCATATTATTTTCATTAAAATGAAAATCCGAAAACGAAAAATCATATGATGGACTTTCGTGTTTCAACATTCTTGATAAATATGTTTCACCCAATGTTTGGCATATTCTTATTTTGACTACAATAAACTTTGTAGTAGTGTATTTTCAAGGCTCTTGGACACATAAGTTTGCCTTATTTACTTACTGTTTCCCAGTAAGCAATATCGGAAATCTGAAGAAATCTATCTGTGAAGTTCACTTATCGCAAATCTACCGTATTGAAACTTCGACTAAAGCTCAAAAAAATCCATAATTTCTATATTTCCATGCAGAACTCCTGAATGAAGAAATCTTTTGTGATCAAGAGCCTTCATATATACCGGGTGGCACAGGGTATCGAATCTTCCCTGTAACTCTTGCATTCATGAACGAATTATCCTAAATTTAGTACAATAATATAATATAACCTAACCTAACCTTTTTGGGTTTCACACCAATATGGAGGACTTCCGGATTTTATGGAAATGCCATGCAAGAATGTTAGACAGATAGGTGTCCCAAAGGGGTTCCATTTGAAAGAAATGAGTTGAACCTGAATGGATTTATGAAGGAACAATGAAAAATTATTTCAATTTCTTTCGATGATGTTTATATTATTTTTAAGTTGATAGCATTTCCAGAAAACCCTGAAGTCCTCCATATTGGATTGTAATGTGTCAAATCCGAAATGATTGGTAATATAAATGTACTAACTTTCAGAAATATTCTTTTACGAATAAAGAGGCAGATACCCCGTGTCTCCCGATCTCTAATATGGGAACAAAATCATAGCCCCAACTCGGAGCGAATTGATTATTGAAGGCCATGATGACATTTTGCCTCGAAGATTCACTATACCTATGCCTCGATAACCTGAATTGAGAATATTCATAGGCGTTCAGTACTTTTTGTATGTATATACTCGCTTGAAGAAATCTTTGAATTGTACGTACTAATCCATCATTCGGGTAGTAATTATTGTCCCGTTATTGATTGAAGAAGATGATGAACAGTAGGGAACAAGGAAGAAAGATTTTGCTCGGTTTGTGTGGATAAAATGAAATCATAATGACATTGTTAAATTTCATGCTACAAAGGTATTCAGGTTTTTGTTTGATTTGATTCCCTTATAGAGAAAGACAGCACTCAAGTTGAACTTTCTTCCTGGTTCATTCAATATGTCTTCATCTACAGAATTGCTCTGTTGAACTTAATTTTTGTAAATAATTGAATGATATGATAGCTGAAGACAAAGTGAGATGTATATTACTGAATACGCATGTCAAATTGACATCCAATTTTATTATTTACTCATAATGTTGGTAATTCGTATTACCCTGATGACATTTATTTGAATATGATGCAACTTTTTATATGAAATTCCTAGAATAGTAATTTAGAAATAAAACAATATTGAAAATATACCTCATTGTTTTTATCTCTGCAGATGAAATTATTATAAAACCTTTCAGCTGTGAAAAACAGAAGTATTCTGGATACAAAAACAAAATTCAGTGTAACAAAACATGTATTCAATCTGTACCAGTATCAGTTAAGAGTTGTCAATTATACAAATTGAGAATGCTAACACAAAGAGTCAAACCTTCATAAAACATCACTAATTTTCAATATTTATCACAGCCACAACTACAATCTTATTTTATTACAAACCATCTGAAAAATCATAGAAGAATCAATTCAAATTTATAATTTCAACGGGTCATAATTTTCAATGGGGAAGAACATATATTATTATGTTACTGAAATATAGCATAAAAATAATAAGTGCATAGTTGTCATTAGTTGTCATACTAAGTTATGTGATAATATAATATGTCACTTACTCTCCTAATTGGAAATTACGTCCCAAGATTATTGGTACTATCGATAGTATCATGTAAATTCACGCAGTTCACTATCATATTGCAAGTATAAATAAAATCCTGAAGATAGATTAAATATTGAAGGAACAATTCTAATCAATTTCATATCTAATTTTCAACATTAAACCTTTTCATGATGCAAAGGAAGAAGGATCAAGACACATGTGAAAAATGAAAGGACGTTTTCATGTGCAACTTAACATTGTGAGCATCAAAATGTATTGTTGGCAGTATTTTTTGCATATTTCTCATAAAACATCAGACCAGAACTACCAAATGTTGTGGGAATATCTATCCGAGTGAAAAGTACAAGGCTTAAGCCCTGATAGGTTTTTAGAATAATGTAAGACAATATGAATTAGTGTCGATCCCTGGTGTTAATCTGAATCTGAATGTTAAGTCATTTCAAGAAATACCAAATCAAACTGATCGTTGAACGATATCAGCATTTCAAAAGTTTTTAAACTTCAAACTCCATTTTTCGGACACCCAGAGATGCATACATAACAGTCCAGTTGAATTAAAAAATCTCAGAGCTATCTTCCAAATCAACAGTTTTCCTCTTTTTGAAATTCCTCTTCGTACCTTTCAGCTGAGTAATTTTCCGCTTTTTCGATTCTTTTTTCTTCTCGTGCCGTTTAATTTTTTTCTTCGCAAAAGATTCCGGATCGGTTACAGCAAGTTGGGTTCTTGCCCGCTTTCTTTCTGCCCTCTTCACTGACAGCGTTTGTTGCTGTTTTGATAAGATACTCGTATATTTTTCTATGCCCAATTTATTCTTGAACAAATTCGAAACTTCTTTGGCCAGCTGCCGCAACGGGGCATTTTTTTCTTCAGTAGAAGTCATTTCTCTAACCAAGGGTGCTAGTAAATGGTGTATAATTGGTAAGATATTCTTGATTTCCAGGGCCGTACCAACCCCAGCTATCCACTTGAATACCTCGGTACGTAGTGTTGTGCTAGATGCGTCCTCAACGATTTCTGTGTTCACTATTTTACGCATGCGTTTGGCCAACCATAAAATATTCAATTGATTTTCTCCTTCGGCGGTTTTCAAAGGAATGTCTTGTAAAACTTTGGCGACGAATATCAAATTCTTGATAACCTGTTCGGCTAACTCACTTTTTACACCGTTGGGTTGCAGCTGATCGCACAGATCCAATGTTAGAGATTTCACTGCGTTCACTGGATCATTATATAGATAACCACCTCCGTTTTGCTGATCAGATGTCAGAAGCTTCGACAAATGATCAATATCAATTGTAGACAAAACATATCCGATGAACTGTGCTGCAGCTAATCGTACCCAATCGTGGGGATAATTCAACAATGTCTGAACATGGACGGCCAAATTCTCAACGACATCTTTGTGCTTCAAAAATGTAGGACAGTGCATGCAAATTTTGAGTACCAGTTGCAAAACTTGAAATAAATGATGATCCTTGATCCGTTGATATTCTTCAGGGTCCTGTCTGTTATCGGCTTTTTGGACCTTCACTAATTTTCCAGGAGTATTATCTAGTCCAAACTGTTTCAGAACCAAAGGCTCGAGACGTGGGAGGCGATTTTCGAAATCGGTTTTCTCGACTGTGACAAAAATGCTACACAACTGAGCCCCAAGTCGGCAATGACTTATATTCCTGTCTTGCATCCAAATGATGATAACGTCAAAAAGAGGATTACGATCCGCTTTGGGCAACTTTTTCAACATTGAAGATATACACTCTGCAATTTTTTTCCTGCAATCTGGTTCATCGTCGTTAACCAATCTCGCTCCTAGAGTTATAAGCAAGGTTCCACTCTGACCCTTCAGGACATCCAGGGGAAATGAGTTTATAAGTGTCTGGATCATTTCTATAGAAGAGTCTCGACCGTACTTCAATTCATAACTCATTTGAGAAAGGTAGAACCCGAGATGTTTCTCTAGGGAATTGCCTAAAGGATACTCCATGAAGAATTGGTGGAATACTGATCGTGCTTGAGCTCTCACGTGATCTAGTTCAGACGTGATACTCAATTCTGCTATTTTTTCCATAACTTCGTTCAATTCGGGTGTGATAACCTTCCTAGCGATGATCGCTTTAAGTAGATTAAAAGCAATAGCTTGCCTGTCATGGTCATGGATGTCCTGTTCTACATACAAAAGAAGAATTTTCAGTTGGTTGGTATCTATGGTATAATACTTGACATCTCTTACTAGAACTGCCATCACCTTGAACGCTGATAAAACCAGATCAAAGTTATCACCTTTGCTCAAACCAGCTGAGGCATACTTGTGCAATATGGCGAAAATGTCTTTTACTATTATTTTGATATTGATTCTGAGTGATGGTAAATCATATTTGAGAACCCATGAAAGACACTGTAATGTAATAGTGCTCAGTTTTACATGTTTCGATTTAAGACAATTTCTAAATATCATTATGAATGGATCTATGAATTTTGTATATTCTTCACCTCTTAGTTTGTCTTTTTTCAACATTATGTGACAAAGTCTCAAACCAAATTCAACCAGTAGATGAGCATTTGTTTCTGCGGACGTCTTGACATTTTGCGTACGATATGCTTTTCTGTTACCAGGAATTTTTGGAATTATGAAACAGTCTTCTTTCTGAATCAAAAGTTTTTCACTTTCATTCTCAGTTGGCTTTTTCTTTTCCTTCGGGATCAACTGAGGTATGCTTTTGGATGCTGTACCATACGCAAATTTTAACAAAGACTCTGTCGTCACAAAACTGTTCTCAACCAAACCCTGTGCAATGAATCTCAATGCAGTTTGCGTTTTCTGGACTGTCTTGAAAGAATGCGAAGTATCCAATATTTGTTTGAACGGTAGAAGAATATCTAACAAACATCTTTCGGTGATGTATTGAGATAAAATGTGAAGTGTATCATAGGATTTTGAGTGTCTTGCCTCTGCTACTTTGACAGCAATCTTAGCAACTTCTTTTTCTTCTGATAGAATGCCGAAAAGATCAGCTTTACACATATCGAGTACTGTCAGTAGCACTTTGTCAAGGTCTGTGCGCTCATATTGATCTTTCAAGGAATGCAAAACTCCGTGAGCAGTAAAAACTAGAACGTGCACTTGAAATCCTCGGTTCAACAGTGAAGCCATCTCATTCAACAATAATCCCAAGTATTTCGGCCCTAAGGTAACCATGATTTTTTGTAAAGTTTCTCTCGCCACTCTTCTTACACTTTCCAAATGCGATTTGAGGAAAGTGCAGCTTTTCATGAAAACTCCAGGAAGGTTATGTTCCAATATATGATTCGGTAGTCTTTGTAAAAGTTTCACCACAGCTAAAGATATTGGAACTCGCAGTAGATCTTCTTCGGCTTGTGAAAAGTTTGTGTTCCTTCTATTCAGTTTGTGCGAGCTTTCATATTGAGTCATTTGTGCTAATGATTTGTGCAATTTTGGTAAAAGCACTGATTCGATAGTTTTTATCACTCTGGTTGCTGCTGACTTACATAATATAGTAACTTTTTCGCATATACTAATTGCCTGCTTTCCTTTGTCACTGCCTACTTCCTCTTCAGCTTCAGATTCTTCTTCATTTTCATCTGCATCACCTATTTCTATATCTTCCAAATGTGTCTCTTCATCTTCTTTCTCTGTTGACATTATATGTTCCTGAACAGCAACTGGTGTCTTCTCTTTATCATTTTCATTCATACTACCTTTTCTAAGATCAAAATGGAAAGAGTCTAAAATAGCTACTAACAAACGAACAAGCTGCCTTTGATAATCAAGTTTGGAGCCTAGTTTTGAAAGGTAGTATTTCAATACTGCTTCATACTGATGCCAAGGTAAAACTCTACAAGCAAGACCAATAGTTTCAATGGCAGCGTCAACGACACTGTTCTTGTTAGAGAATTTTTCTTTGAGAAGGTAATGGGAGGCCAAAGGCATAACAAACTGCATCAGAGTCCTAGGATTCAATACTGTCACTTGGTCTCTAGTTATTTGACAGAATTTCAAAAGGGCCCTCGCATGCCTGTGAATCTGAAGATGAACTAAATTCTCAAAGAAATCTACTTCTATGTCGTTCTTGTTCGTGTATACATTCAGATCTCTTAGCATGAAATGACTGTCTGGGCACTCTCTGGCCAAATGACCCAATAAAGAAACATATTCATTGCGAATGTCCTCCTTCGAATTTTTGAAACCCGTTCTTATAACGTTGAACAGTGTCTTGTTGAGAATATAGTCCATGTGTCGACTATTCTTCTTCACCAATTCCGAAGATACTTGCTTCAATGTGTGAGAGCTGTTTTCCTTGAGTGATAAATCTTTCTCACTATCAAGGAAAAAACAACAGTTGAAAATAACGAGAACGCCCAATGGGACACTAACATCTCCAGCATCGATATTCTCGTGAATTTTTTTGAAAGCTTTGTGACGTCGTTCAAAATCTGGCTGGTCTAGCCACTTCTGATCAAATGCATTTAATTCTGAAATGAACTCTGCAGCTGATTTAAGTTTCTCTTCATTTGCATTATTAGCTATTATATGTAGGCTTTGGCACAACAGTTTTCGACAGGATGGGTATGCTATTTCTGCGAATAAGGGCGACAATTCTTCAAGGTGAACCTCGGGCTTCTCAACGTTCCTGATAAGGTTGTGTACGGTTTTTATATATTTCAGGGTAAGATCTTCTGGAAACGATACGTTACACTTTTTACGAACAACTGGTAACAGAAGGTTCAGGACCTTGTCGCTCATTTCTGGTTCTAGTACCATCTCAGAAATTCCTGATAAAATAAATAACTCTCTTTCATTCAAACTCTTTGTTTTGGTCTGTAGTTTTCTTTTAATTTTATCGAGTATGATTGATACATGTGGTATCAAAATAGAAATGCCATAAGTAAACTTACAATTTGGTCTGATTTCTTTTTGTACTGGTAACAGGTTATCTATTGGTAGATATGTTTGCACACTTTGATCAAATTCCAAAGTCAACAAATTTTGCAAAATTTCTTCAACAACATCAACAACGCTGAAATTACATTTCTCATTGAGTAATAGTTTTACTATATGTGGTAAAACATGTAAATTATCACTGTCCCTACATTTAACAAGCAGAGGAAAATTTCGTGAATTAGAACTCCATATCTTGAAGAGTTTTAATAAGGCCGTTGGGCTATGTATGCCTTCTGTGTATAATTTAGTCAAATATGGCCACACAAACACTTCAAAAATACCGTTAATTTGTGATTTAGTCCAAGGGTAGTTCTCAAATTGCTCAAAATATCTGCCTATAATTTTTATACATGAAGTTCTGATCGTCCTCAAGGTCGCCAAATATCCAGAGTGCACTTGGTCAATGTTATCAAATGCATACTTCAGAAGCGCCCCAATTGCAATGAGAATATTCAAAAGATATGTCAAAATATCATTTCCCATTAAACCACCACACTGATCGAAAATTACTTGCAATAAATTCACAGTACTTTGAATTCTTTTCAGAGGAAAAAACAGTTCTAAATCAGTATTCTCCTGTATATGTTTTATGATGTTCACAGGATCAGACTTAATGAACCTGTTGTACAACTTCAAAGTTTTCTGCAAAAAATTCAGCATTTCCTGCTCCTGGCAACCAGCTAGAAATCTCAAGATCAAACTTCTTCTCATCTGCCCTGAGGATTTACCACCAGTTCTCAATCCACTTTTAACAGTCATTTTGCTGAATACAATTTGCATCACCACAGGAATCAATCCCTCTCTATGTTCTGTAAGTACAATGTTGCTATCTTGATCGACTCTAAATGAGGTAATTTCATGTTTGAAGTTTTGGTCATCTACTAAATTATATAAGCTGTCTTTGTATGGTATTAAATATTTGTGTTTGTAAGTCATGATGCAGTCTAAAGCAGCTTTTTGGATATTTGAATCTCTGTGTTGCAGCAGGTCGAAGTAGAGTTTGTATAATTCAGGTTCACGGTACATTGACAGTGGACTAAGAAACTGAGAAAATACTTTCAACTTTTGTAACAATGTTTGTATATACACTTTGTTGGATGATTTTTTCTTGGTGTCAGGATTGTTCTCAGTCACATTCGGCTCATTTTTACCTGTCAAAGTATTCTGTTTTATGCTCTGAAATGGAGCTACTTCCGAATTAGCTATTGCATATTCAGACTCAATGAATTTAAGCAATAATTCTGAGGTATCTCTCGTTTTAGCTTCTGCAACACTTGAAAATTGAACCAGAGCTTTCCATAATAGAATTCGATAATTGAGAAAATCTGGTTTTGAATTCAACTTTTCAGACTCTTGAAACATTTCATTTAGTAAATGGGAGGCTCCTTCCAGAACAACAATTGCATATTCTGCAGGGTTTTTTGAATTTTTGCAAACCTCTTTCAACTCACTACCAAATATATTCCAAAATTCGTTAATTTCTGTATTGACAGCATGTGAGGCAATTATTTTCATTACAGGTTCCCAAAGTAATTGAAAATTAATGTATAAAACACTACATAAATAGCGAAGTGGTATCAATTTAAATGGTGTCTGGATACCCATTTTCATCTGTGGCATGTCATATTGGAGTTTTTCCAAGTTTTGTAGTTGATCTCTGTAGGTATGAACATGAGGCACGATTGATTCTACATTGTAGATAATTGAAAAAATGGACCATTTTTCTAATGGGACATCTGGATCTGTACTGTGAGACAAATCAAAGTCAGGAATATTTTCAAAAAAGGTATAAATATAACTTGTTAATAGTCTTATTTCTCGATAAGGTGAGCTGAAGTTTTTCTCCATAACTTCATTCATTTTGATGAGAGTGCTAAGTTTTATTATGTCATTTTCATCTCTGAGTGCATATAAAATTAAACTCAATGTTTTTAAACTAGAAATATATTCAGGATTTGAAGTGAGTGGCAAAATTTGATCAAAGATATTATTAAGAAATATGCACTTTAGTTGTTTGACATCACTATGTACATGAACAAAGCACTCTATTGATGCATTTAAGAAGAACAATATTTTTTTGAGAGCACATTTATTCTCTTCATCATACTGCACCTGACCTAAAAGGAATATTATATTTGTCTCCAATGAGGATGTAACTTTTTCAGTAGCCTCTAAACTCAACTTCAAATGTGGTAGGCAAATTAAACTGTAATAATAGTCCTCATACTTATTCAAAAATTGGCCACCATCATTTTCCATTTTCTTGAGCAACAAATTCAAGATGATTGTATTATTTTCTTTGAAATCAATAAGGTATTTTTGCCATTTAGGTAAATTAATGCTATCAATGCAGAGTGGTGCTTTATCCATTATAAGTTTTGTTAGGACCTTGAAACATTCATTATTCAATTCAGTTTTAATACAGTATCTCAAAAAATTGGGTAGAATTGTTCCTTCAAAATAAGAACAAGATTTTACATTAAACACAAAGTATAAAAACACTGACTCATGTGTTGTAGATAACAATTTTCTTATCAACAAAGAAGCATGTTCTTGGGAAAGTTTCAAGTTTTTCAAAGAGAGAATTAGAATACTAATCTGACTTATCTTCAACACAATATTTTCAGTTTCATGACAATTATTCAATAATGCAATCATTACCTCAATTAGCATAACAGGATTTTGTAAAAAATGTCCCTTCTTATATTCAGTACATTGGCCAACTAATTTCAATATATTATCAATGCATCTTATGAAATTATCTTCTTTGCATATCTTGTATTTATTGTTGAGATCATTCAGGACATTGATAAATGTTAACCACAACAACTCACCCTTTGCTGGTGATATATGCTTCAGGATATTCATTACCACTACCTCCAATACCTTGAACAAAACATCTTGGGGCAGGTTTTGATCACTCAAAGATTCTATTAGAAATGGGATCATGGTATCTGAACAACTATGGAATTGTCCCTCAATACCATAAATGATTTGGAAGAGGAGCTTTCCACAACCACTGATTCCATCTTCTTCATTCTTTACCAAACTCAGGAGAAGTCTCAAAAATGTTTTTTTATCCTTAATTTTTCTTGCCACAAATGCAAAGCTCTCAGCAGCAAAACTGTTGATGTATTCAGGCTTATTTTCAGTAAGAAGTGGTAGAAGTGCTCTAAAAACTGTATTAATATCTTTCACCAGAGGCCTCCACAAGAATTTAAATAGGTATGCCAAGCATGTAAATGTCCATTCTATTTGTTCAGCATCTTTGGTCTCCAACAGATCTATCAAAATTTCCAAGAACTGAGGAAAATAAGGGTAGAAATCTTTCTGGAGATCTCTTGCAACTGCAACAATGTTTTCAAGAAGTGGTTGGATATACAAGGCATTTTTGAATCTGAGATGCTTCAGCAAGATCTCTATGATATGGTCCTTTGACAACAAAAGTTGAGGCAATGTTATATAGTTTTGTCCTTGAATCTCTTTTCGAAATGCATCATATCCTTCAGTGAGATTCAGGACATTCCATTTTGCGAGGCTTTGGCAGAAATATGATTCATTATCATCATCTTGGTTTTCATATTCATGTGCTACTTTATGGAACACATCTACATCAACTTGAGAAATTCGTTCTGAAAATGTCAAGAACTTAAATGTGTTAGCCTCTTTATGGTAAGTTGATTTATTCTTCATTTTGGCGGGTTTTCACATTGCTAATTATTGTACAAAAAGGTAGAATAGAATACCAATAATACCATGCTTGTACACAAAATCAACTTCATACTGCCCAGTTGAAAAAATATAGGTTAGAATAATTCTTCTTCACATCTTTTAGTATTGTGGCCTTTCATTCCCTCTATTTCAGCTCTTCTTCTTTCTAATTGTAGCTTGGTCTTGTTATTCTGTGGTCTTTGAGTATTGTGTCATTGACTGCTTCTAAGATGCCTAGAATCAACTGCTTCTTATACTTTAATATTCTGACGTTGGGTAGTCTCATGCATTTGGACAAAGAAACATTTACATAGAAAATATGAATCATAATTAGCCCACACGCCCTTCGATTTATGATTCGGTCTATTTCCACAATTTTGAAGTACTAACCCAAACTAGCAGAGATCTAGTTCACTGGGACAAACCATTTTCTCCTCAGAGTTCCTTACTTACAACTTACAATTTATTATGGAAATCCACAATATTTCATATGTATGAAGAACGCCGGAAAACGCAAAGTTGCAAAGTCAAATGCAACTATTCCGTATTCCCCGTGTGACACAAACACACCTTCGCGAGTACACCTCGATCCTGTTCTCCTTAATAGTTTTCCTAATTTAATCTCTGGAATTTGAAACATTGAATAGACAAGACTTTCTTGCCATTTGGAAAACGATCAAATTTCGGTTTTTCCAGAAATGACCATACTATTGTAATTGTATATATAGCCTAAATATAGTTCCTTTTGAACTTATTAAAGTTTGAAAAAAGATCTGCAGTCATGGATGATGCCTACTCAATTCAAGTTCGCATCAGGTTCAACATAAACTTGAAAACCATTTTTTTTTTCTGATGAATATGTGAATTCTTTTAAAGAATAATATTCTCGTATTTTTCGTGATTTTTTAATTTCAGCTTTCAAATCTGACATTATCAATTTTTTCCTCAAAATCAACAACTTTTGTTTTTCAAAACTATGCAAATGAAATATACAAAGTGAATAAACGATAAAACAATCTTCCAATCAAAATACATTCTTCTCCAACATTCTCCCCACCGTGAAATTTCTTCAATTTTCACCAATGACATCAAATCGACATAGTTTGTTGACTGGACGACGAAATATTCCATTTTTGGTTTTGACATCGACGACTCGAATAATGTTATCTCTTCCAGGATATATCTTCTCAATCTTTCCGAGTGGCCATGATTTTCGAGGCAGATTTCCATCTCGAATAACGACGATGTCTCCGATTTCTATAGGTTTGCCATCACTTATCCATTTTCCTCTCTTGGAAAGCGTTGGCAGGTATTCTTTGACCCATCTCGACCAGAATATCTCCGCTAATCGTTGACTCTTCTTCCATTGCGCTCGTAAATCTTGATCTTCAAAGGTGTTAATGAAAGGCGTTTGATTATTGGTACCTGAACTGATGAGAAGATGATTAGGAGTTAGACAATCAGGATCATCTGGATCGATTGAAACGTGTGTAAGGGGTCGACTGTTCACAATAGATTCAGCTTCCAGGAACAATGTGTGTAGAACTTCATCTTTCGGCGCTTCTTCCTTCAACGTAACCTGAAGTATCTTTTTCACAGAACCGATTAACCGCTCCCAGCAACCGCCCATGTGAGGAGTCCCAGGGGGAATGAAATGCCATTCAATGTCCATTTCAGTCAATTCAGTCATTAATTCTGCTCCGTTGTTCTCTCTATTGAAGTTCAGTAGTTCTTCGTTTGCACCATGAAAATTTGTTCCGTTATCTGAATATAAATGTTTGATGGGTCCACGACGGGATATCATTCTTCTCAAAGCCATTATTGTACTGTTAGCTGTGAGGGTGTGGGCGATCTCTAAGTGTATGGCTCTCATTGTCAGGCAGGTGAACAAAACTCCCCACCGTTTTTCCCTATGCCTTCCAACAGTTACAAACATTGGCCCAAAATAATCGATTCCAGTGTGCGTAAATGGCTTCACTTCTGGTGTCAATCTCATCGAAGGTATTTCTCCCATCTTTGGATAATCAGGAGTTGCTTTTCTTCTTCGGCAGTAATAGCAGTTTTTGAAGGTATTTTTCACTGCTCCTCTTCCTTTGATTATCCAGTATTTCTGTCTGATATTATTCAAAATTTGGTTTTCTCCTTGATGTTTAGATTTCTCGTGATAATATCTCAAAATCAACTGTGTGATTTTATTTTTCGGATCAAGAATGATTGGTTTTCTTACAGATTCTTCTAAGCATTGAGCATTATTGATTCTACTGTGCATTTTCAAGAGGTTGTCGGTATCTAAAAATGGTGAAAGTTGAAAAATTCTGCTTATTGTATCAACTCTTTCTTTATTTTTCAACTGTATGATTTCCTCCTGGAAGCTATCAATTTGACTTTTTTCTAAACATTTCTTCTCAGCTTCTTCTATTTCTGCTACAGTTAGTTCTTTCGAATATGTTATTTCATTTTTCCTCAATTTCTCAATCAATTTCTTGACAAATCTCATTATATAGGCAGTGGCTCTGACGAATCTTCTCCATTTAGAGAAACGGGTTACATCTGGAAGTACTGCTGCAGATGATCTCATGATTCCAACAAAATTTGATGATGGCTTTCTTTCATTTTCGTCATCTAACTTGAAATTTAGAAAAATATCATTTGTTGGCCAATTACTTTCAGACTGGTAGAGGAAATCAGGACCTGCGAACCAATTTTCATCAATCGAATAATTTCGACATCGAGTTGCAGTATCAGCCACATTCTTATCTGAAGGAACATATCGCCACTGTTCTAGTGAAGTGCTTTCCTGAATTTCACCAACCCTATGAGCTATGAACTGTTTATAATTCTTACCATCTCCTCGGATCCAATGTAAAACAGTCTTGGAGTCAGACCACAAATAGCTTTTAGCAATTGGAATATCAATTTCAGCAAGTATAGTTCTTAGTAGCCTAGTGCCCATGACAGCAGCTTGTAACTCTAACCTTGGGATTGATAAAGGTTTCAGTGGACTTACCCTAGCCTTAGCTGAAATAAATGCCACTTCAATAGTATTTTCTGAGACAATCCTAAGGTATGCTACTGCTGCGAATGCTTCCTCGCTAGCATCGCCAAATATGTGTATTTCCATCAACTTGGCACTCGGTAGTGAACGTGAGTAACAACGTGGTATAGTGAGAGAGGAAATGTTTTTTAGACTTTTCAACCACTCCAACCAATCATAGTGAATGCTATCAGGAATTGCATCATCCCACGTTATTCCACACCTCCAGATTTGTTGCAAAATGATTCGACCTTTAATAATGAGACACGTTAAGAGACCTACCGGATCAAAAATTGACATTACTAATTTTAAAACTTGTCTCTTTGTCGGTATTTCCATACCAGCTATGATCTTCTCAGGCACCTTGTGAAATACAAGTTTGAAGGTAAAATTGTCAAATTTTGTGTCCCACCAAATACCTAACACTCTGTCTAATGCACTCTTATTCAAATCTTTCTGTAACATTTTATCACCGTGTTTCTGACTGACCATATGAGAATTCGACACCCAGTTCACTATATTGAATCCTCCCTCTTTATGAAGCTCGCTGATTTCTTGTATCTTATCACAGACATTCTCTTCACTCACACAAGAATCGAGATAATCGTCCATGTAGAAGTTTCTCTCGACATCTCTAGCTAAATGAGAAAACCTTTTCGACTCCTTGACATTCAAATTTACGACAAATTGTGCAGAACAAGGAGAACATGCAGCGCCGAATATCATCACTTGCATCTCGTATATGTCTGCAGTATTTTTCTGAATGCCATCTCGCCAAAGGAATCGCTGAGAACATCTATCATCTGCTCTGATCTTCACTTGGTGAAACATCTCAGCAATATCGCCACAAAAGGCAAACTCAAAACGGCGGAATCGCATCAGAACACCCGGTAGAAAATTCAAAAAATCAGGTCCCTGCAAAAGATTTTCATTGAGGCTAGTCCCGTGACTTCTGGCTGCAGCGTCAAAAACTAAACGGAATTTTTTGGGTTTGTTTGGGTTTACGACACCAAAATGTGGGAGATACCAAGTCCTACTATTCTCTACAGCGGCTTCTTCTCTACTCAATTTTCGTATGTAACCTTTTTCCAAATAATTATTAATCTTATTGCAATATTGTTCAAAATAAGTTTTATCTCTCAGCATCTTTCTCTCTACACACAACAAACGACTGTAAGCATTCAATTTACTCTCGGGAAGTGTAATGTCATCAAATTTCCATATCAAACCAGTTTCATATCGTTTTTCATTTTCTATGTATTTTGTTGTTTTTTCTAAAATTTGGATTGCTCTGCGTTCTGCTGAATTAATTCTCGTATTAGTGACGCAAACACCAAATGAATCAATAGAAAATGATTCCTTGATCAATGAGTTCAATTCACTTTCGCAATTACAAATGTGAAAATTGAAACTAGTTTGATTAATTGCACCAATATCAACATTTCCATGCAATACCCATCCTAAGTTAGTTTTTGTAGCGATCGGATCTTTTTCATCAGGACCTTGGCAAACTTTTCGCGCCACAGTAAGATTAATATTATCCTGTCCGATAAGAATAGTTGGTTTAGCTTTAATCATTTCTTGAATTGGTAAATCGCGCAAATGTGGATGCTTACTGAAGTCACTCATCAAGACAGTCTGAGTAGGCAATGATAAATTTTTTACAGTTTTCACATTTGCCATTCTGAAAATTTTCGAATTGTCGTTCATTCCTGAAATATGAAGTTCAACTGATTTTGAATCCTCATTGTGCAGTACAATATCATTCGCCCATTGCATACAGAATGATTCATTTTTTCCCGGTAACTGTAATTGTTCCGCAACTTCAGTCTCGATCAATGAAATTGTTGAACCTTCGTCAAATAAAGCGTACGTATCGAAACACTTTTCGGGTCCAAAAATTCTTACAGGAATAATTCGCAGAAGAACATGTGAGTCATTATATTCAGTAAGACACACTCTTTGAATTTTGATTTCTGAAGAGGATTCGCTGGATTCTTCTACTTTTTCTGGTACTATTTCAAGTTTTGGCTTAATTTGATGTAATAAATGGTGATGAGGTCTTCTACAACTATCAATTCCGCAATTTTTTCGAGATTTGCAGAACATTTTTGAATGTCCCCGTTTCAAACATTTAAAACAAACTTTCAGTGCCAAGATTTTCTTCCAACGTTCATCAACAGAATCTTTCAACATTAAAGGGCAACTTAAAATTGAATGATCAGTTTTTTCGCAATAAAGACATTTTTCATTGTCATGATTATTCTCTGTCGTGTGTAAAACTAGTTTATTTGTGCGTTCATTACTATTGTGTCTCTTGAAATCAGATGATTGATTGTTGTATCTTCTTCCATGATCAGAATGAGAAAAGGTTGGGGAACTTACATAACAAGCAGCTGACGAAATCTCATTGACCCATAATCCGAAATCTTTCACATTGGCTTTACCTTTTTGCTTCACAAGTACTTGCCCCCAAGTCAATTTCAATCCGTTAGGAAGTTTCGCCACCAGCTGCTCCAGTAGTGATGGGTTTTCAACGTGATTTCCAGCTTCAAGGGTCTCCAAAGTGGCCACCAAGTTGTTGACATTGCATGAAAATTTAATAATATTAGAAAAGTCACCATCTTTTACTGGAGGAAAATTCTGAATCTTGTTGATCAAGCTCTTAATGATAAATTCAGAACGACCAAATCTCATTTCCAGAGTTTGGATGACAAAAGCAACATTACCTGGGTGCAACAACAGACTTCTCACTGCTTCCAAGGCTTCTCCTTTTAAACATCTCTGCAATTTTAACATAATTTCATCATCGGAGTAGAGACACGTAGCAACTTTTCTTTCAAATTGGCTTTTAAACATCGGCCAATCCTCGGGCTTGCCATCAAAGAATAAAAAATCCTTGTCAAATACTTGCCTACTCAGTACTTCATGAGGAATTGATTTGACCTGAGGACTTGAGACAGATTTTATCGCATCTGCAATAACGTTACATAATTTATCCATATCACTCTGTCTATTGAAATCATCTTGTGATATATTGGATGGATACTCACATTTTTCAATCCATTTTTCTACTTGCACCTTTTTCTCTTCAGTATTCGTACTTACAATATCAATTTCTTCTCTAGCCTCACTACATTGAGAAAAATCGGCATCATCCAGTTCAGCTTCTGCCAAATCCCTTTCCAACTGCAGAATTCTCATCTCATTGTCTAACTGCTGTTTCTTCATCATCAGTTCAGCCTTAGCCTTTTCTGTCGCAAGTGCCAAACGCTTCTTTTCAATCTCCAATTTCTTCGTAGATGACACCTTGGACGTACTTGATTTCTTGTTGGAATATTTGGTTTTATCTGATTCTCTTGATGATTTGCCTCTTGTAATCTCGGAACGTACCCCATCTTCATTTCCAGCCTTCATTCTAACACCTTCCTGAAGAGACTTACTCGCTGATGACAGCTGAGGAACATCATCCACCAATTCTTCCTCCGGTACCGTAACTTCTTTCTGTTGTGACTCCCATAGAAAATTGTCGTCACGTTTACTGTGCATACCGGCATTGGATCTTCGGGATTTCCTTACGTCTTCACGATTTTCAGACATCTTCTATTTCAGTTTCACAAATATAATAGACTATACAAAATCCACTCTTGACTCTATTTGCGCTCAAAGGACCATGTGAATTCTTTTAAAGAATAATATTCTCGTATTTTTCGTGATTTTTTAATTTCAGCAAATCTGACATTATCAATTTTTTCCTCAAAATCAACAACTTTTGTTTTTCAAAACTATGCAAATGAAATATACAAAGTGAATAAACGATAAAACAATCTTCCAATCAAAATACATTCTTCTCCAACAGAATAACTACCTAGGAAAGGAAGTTTCAAACTTGAGTAAGGTCACAAAAATAAAACACAGATTCAGTTTTTATCACTATAAATTTCGTTATGTAATTCCTACCCGCAACATTCAAATCAGTGCGTCATTATTCTATTCTATACAGTAAATAATCGTTTTGAGATTATCCATATTGTCTGATGGTCGTTCAGTCACCATTGAGCATTTTGATTGAAAATAAATTCAGATTTTCTGGAAATATCTCTCTGCAACAGGTAAGCTTGTTATGATAAAGTTCCCGGCAAACTAATTCTAATGGAAGATTCGGATTTTATAATTAAAATATCTACCTATCTATATCAACATATTTATAACTTGCGATAAAAGGGAACAATAAGTCACACATACCAATACTTATTTTATACTCTCTTCAAAACTTTCCAATATATCTGCCAAAACAATTAAAAGAATTAATAAGAAATTTAACACTGCCAACTCATTCCCTTTTTTTTTCTGCTTCCACAGACACAATCTATACAGGCCCTACAGAGGATGCTCCAATTTCTTTCAGAGAAAAGTATAGGTATTAATATAATAGAAGCCAACTGAAATATCGTGACAACCTATATCGCCCTGATTGACTTCAACGCCCTGTAGTGCATTTATTAGATCACCTACTTAATTCCTTCGAAAAAAAAAATGTGATCACCCTGTATATGAATCAAAAATGTTTTTTGCAATAGGTGCGTCTAATTCAATAATATATCTGAGAATATTCCATAAAAAAAAACACATCTTTTACCATTATATTAATATAAAATCATTTATTTTACTGTCTTTTTGTATTATTTCATACGTACATACGTTTTTGTAGGTGCTCAACATTATTATGTTTTCTGTCGTAAACAAAATAAATAATGTTAAATCTTGGAAATAATGAAGTTGACTGATTGATTTAGGTTTCAGGAAGCATCACCAATAAGAATCACACAAGAAAGCTTATTCTGTCTGGCCTGGCCCTCCTAGCTACGGCCCTGATGCGCACAATATTTTGACTCATTTGTCAACAATTAATCAACAATGAACTCTATACATATTAATTGGCCAACAATCGCGGTAGCCAGTGATGCCAACCTGTGGGAATTTTCCCATATTATGGGAATATCTGTTGAAAATATACAGGATGTTCCTTTCAATGACATGCTAATATTCAAGAGGGCGATTATTGGACACATTTCAAGAATAAAACTTTATATGAAAGTATGTCGTAAAATTACTATCTTTTGACATACAGGGTATCAAAGTTGAACATATACATAGATTCTTTTTTTGTCCACCCTGTATAGATTTTCCTGATGGCAAAATTTATTCTGCTATGTAACTGAAACGGTGCAAAAATTTCAAAATGTTACATACTGTCAAATACTGTGGTTATCCAGTAATGGATGTCCTGACTGGAGTACTCAAGCTTTTAGCATTTACATCAAAATTTGAAGTTTGATCTCGTTTTTTTCTCGAAAACGGAGCGTGCTATCGGATATCAACAAGAGGATCTTTTTTGCACAAAATTGAATGACTGCTTCATAGCATTTTATTAAATTTGGAAATATTCCTTCGTTGCTCACTTTTGAGTATAATATAATCAATCATATCCCCCAAACGGCGCCACTGGCAGAGAAAAAAGAAATTTGTATACATAAAAAAATGCACCTTGATGCATAGAAGATATGTATCAAATTTCATGAAGATGTCTATAATAGTATCCCAGTTATTATAAAAAAAAACTGTTTTTTTTCAAAACTTTATCACCCTGTATCTCAAAAGTTAAGACTTTCAGGACCTACGTTAGTGGGAAGTTTTTTCTTGAAATGAGTTGAAGAATGACCCCCTCGAATATTAGCATGACTTCAAGGAACACCTGTATAGAAATGGGGAAAAGTGGGGACAACCAAATAAACTCATAATATGGGAATTTTCGTACTTGTCTACCTACTGAGAAGTGCCTAAAGCTTTCGAACCATTCCCATTACGTGATATGTGGAGATTCGTGTTTGCTGAGTTTGGTCAGGGAGTTTTATTCAAGTCCACTAATAGCATGGCGTCAGCCCACTGTGATCATTTTATAGTGATTTACGCTTTCAAGGATGTTATTTCTCGTTCCTCTCGAGACCCCGAGCACAGTATATAACCTCTTTCTCGTACAAGGTACGACTGTGCCCCGATGGTTTCGTTATGCTTCCATAGGTCGCGTGCAAGAACTGTCAGATGACCGACCCTGGAGGCAAAACATATTTGTTTACAAGTGATCGAAATAGTTTTCCACAATTATTTTGGCATATGAATCGTATTTTTCCGCTATTCATCAATTCGCTAATGCCATCACATTGTGCTGTTGTAAAATGCACAAAAACTGCAGCGGAAGATGAAGAAATCCGGATGGTACATTATGATTTAAAAGTAAGTACCTACTATAGACACTCACATAGTTTTCATTTTTGAAATTTGGTTATTTCTCTGATTTCTCATCGGAATTCCTTCTGCAATAAGATCAGCTAATAGAAATATACCTGAAATTTCTAGAATAATGCAAGAAGATTGGATTCATGCAATCAATCGGTAGGACTGGTCTGACATGCTGGCGATCGTGTGTGTTGTAGACATTTTCAATCTATTAGCAGCATTAGCTTGTATTGCAGAAGTGGCAGAAGGCAGAAGGAATTTTAATAAGGAATGACAACATTTCATAATGCTAACTATGTGAGATTACTATTTGAAAAATCATATCCCCTAGTCTCTTGCTGCATTTTTTGTGCATTGTACAACAGCACAATGCGAAGGCATGCTTGAATTAATGAATAACGCAAGAAACACGATTCGTATGCCAAAATATTGTGAAAAACTGTTTCAACCTTTTGATTCCTCTGTAACCAAATAAAAAAGTGAGGTTGTGTTTCAATAATTAACAGAAGAATGAGGTTGTGTTTCAATATTTTGCCTCCAGGGTCGGTCTTCGTGCACGCGACCTATAATGTATCACGTGATTTACTGTAACTGTGACCAATCTGATAATGAGGTTTGGGAATGGTTCGAAAACTTTAGGCTCTCGTCATAAATCATCACTGTGGGCTGACGCCATGCTATTAGTGGACCAGAATAAAACTCCCTGACCAAACTCAGCCTCCACAATTTTATTGTGAAAAATGCATAAAGCAACCATCACGAATCGCAACATATCACGTGATGGGAATGGTTCGAAAGATTTAGTCACTTATCTGGCTCAGGTTTTGCCATAGTTTTTTAGTCATCACAAGGTAAGATGATGACCTTGACTACCGCGAACAGGAGTTTAAAACCAATAACAATTTCGAGTCCCATTTTTGTACAAAATGAATATAGAGCATGTCCCAGCTCCAGCTATTGTGGGAAACCTAATATGGTAATAACTCTTGAAATACTTACCTTCAAAATATTCGAAAAATTATTTCAAAGTAATACCTAATCAGATCTCATTTCGGAAAAAATAAGGAATGTTTTACCATACATTCACAAAGTAGTTCAAGAGTTATTGCCTTCAAAAATAATAGTTGTGAAATGTAAAACATATATAAACTTAAAAACTGTATGAATAATAAATAACAAATTTCATAAATAATTTAAATATCTATACAAGATGTGAACTAACTTATAAAAATCAATAACATCTAGTAGTGTTTCCAGATTTTATTTTTGCTCTCTCTTATATTTTTTTTTCTAACTTGAGCAAGAGGAAAAAAGTCCTGGACAGTAGTACATCTTATTTGTTTTTTTTGTCCTCGCAAATGATCAATGATATAATTCTTCTATAAGTAATCTCATTGTTATTGGAAAGCAATAACGGGATTCAGTTTTGATAAATGAATTGAGGTGCAAAAGATTATTTTCCACACTCATCATGGAATAATATAAGTAATAGTTATTTATGTAGGCTATCATTGCTATTAACACGCCTAGGTCCATAGAAGCAAGTTACTCTACGACCGGTTTAGACATTCATTTACTGTCAATATGGAATTGATAAATGATTTTAAATTATTTTGGCCAATTCACGTATGCCACTGGCGAATAAAAACCGAATGGCAGTCTATGCTAGAAATTACTGGAAAAACGGTGGAATTACTTTGCCGCCTGATCACCTACTTTACCACCGCCCGCTGTACTCCTTTATTGCCCTAAGGCGCTAAAGTGCTACTTTACGGCCGCGAATCCGGACGATAAAATGCCACTTTACGCCCGGTCGTGCATAAAGACTGCACCATACCTATGTTTTTGTTTGTTAATGACTGTACGCAAAATTTGTCTTTGTGGTTATAAATAATGCAAAAATTGCAAAGATTGGGATATTTTTGGTATTTTCCAAATTGGCAAATTAAAAGAGTGATAAGTACTTCGGCGTTAATGTTGTACAGGTATATTAATCCATGGCATCAAACATCAACTTTCAGACAGAAAGTTGATGTTCCATGTCCATAGGCATTAGCTGATTTTTCAAGAAGACAGGAGTCATTACTCATTCACTGAGCAGAGATGTACAGAATGGATCAGTCAAATGAAACAAATTCAATATACCCCAAACCAATTTTGAAAACATAAAGCTTTGAAAAATGAAATCAACATGTATACAAGATTTTTTGGAAATAATTTTAATATGGGAAATATTCAATACATTCCATTTAGCTGACAATCACTCTCTAATGAAATTCAACAAATTATACCCTTGACATTTC